ATGTGTGTGATAGCCCTAAATCACAGTAGTTATCACAGAGGACTTAACAAAACTGTTGAAATTGCCAAAACAGATTAGAAAATCAAAGAGTTCCAACACACATAGGCTTTGGTCCATTTGGGGAGTTGACCAATGTCCATAAGTGTTGATAAATGTCCATAAATGTTGTTGAATATTGAGTGTCCTCGATCATCACCACAGTCCTTTTTGTTAGACCCTCCTGCATCGGCAAGGAAAAATTCTAAAACCCAGTGGGGGAAAAGTGAAAAACCTCGGGCAGATCCACATTGAGAGAGGGATCCGCTCCACACTAACAGATGGGTTTTAGATCCAGGCCCTAAGCTTACAGAACGAGGACCAAGGCCACGCAGCGCAGGACTCAGGTTGTAGAACGAGGACAGGTGCGGTGCAGGACTGAAGCAGCTCCCAGGGGCGTGGAGGGGGCTGGATTTAGGGGTCCCATCGTCATTTGAATCTTTTTCGCTTCCAGTCAGGCCGTCTTTGACCCAACAATACCTGGCTTTTTCACCTCTCTACAAGGATGATTTTTGAACTGTGATACTCGGCAACTATGCTCATGGGTATCTTTCAGCGCGTGCGGATACGATAAATATCTTAAAAATGCAGTACACCATACGGCACTTATATACAGTAAATACATACTTACCTTTCAGGACTTTCAATTTGATGCGATTCAACACAATATTTTTTCCAAACGACACAAATACACTTCACAGTTGTATGACACGCCGTTGTACGATATTAGATTTCTAGCCATTCTTTCAAGCGGGTTACAAGCTTCCTGACAGAACATACAGACTCAGTTTAAAAGTGAAGGGCTGCGTCGGCTCATGGCATCCCCCAAGAGTGATCCGTATGCATTTATGGGAAAGAGGAGGATTTCTGCGCACATCTGTCAAGCAGCTGGAGATGTGAGGGGAAAGTCAAGGGACCAAATGAATTCAGACTTTTCTCTTAAGGGTGAATATATGATGCACCGGTTTTATACAGCGCTATTTTGAACACTCAAAGGCGATTCACATTTCAATATTCTTTCACTGCATACACAATGGTGATAAATTACTACAGTTGCCCTGGGGCAGACTGACGGAAGCGAGGCAACCAGTATGCTCCATCAGCCCCATCGACCACCATTCCCCCTTGGGAGGCAGAGTGGCACAGAGGTTAACGCTTGTGCTTCACAGCGATAAGATCCTGGGTTCGATTCCACCTCCAGGACCTCTTTGTGTGGAGTTTGCATGTTCTCCCCATGTCTCCCCATAGGTTTTCTCCGAGTGCTCCGGTTTCCCTTACAACTAAAAATATGTACAGTAGGTCTACCCCAGTGAGAGACAAATGCCGCCAATAATTGTAAAGTGCTTTGTGACTCAAAGGCGCTATAAAAAAAAATAAGATTACTTACAAATACTTACATAGCACACATCAGACTCATTCTAGGCAATGTGGGGAAGTGTTTTGCCTAAAGACACAACAACAGTTTAGCACTTTACAGCCACAGCCCAAAGGACTCCCATCGTAGTACTAACCAGGCCCTGTCTTGCTCAGTTTCACAGGTCTGATGGGAGCTGGCTTTCATAGGCTTTCTTAAGGGTGAATACAAATGTAATCAACAAACAATGAAAATTATAAAAGCCATTTCTGTAAAGTGCGTTCTGTACCAACACATTTGCAAAAACGCATTAGGAGATTGGCTACAGGTCTGTGCGTTCTGTGCCAATGGAATCTGAAAATGTGAGGCTAAAGCCGTAATGTAACCTGTCTGGACCAATGCTATCTCTTCTCTGATGAAGATGAATTAGCCTCGGCTGGAACTGGGTCACCTCTAAAGATTGAGAGCTGAGATTCCAATATGTTCTAACGGGATTCTAGTATTTTTGATTTTATCAGTAGTATAGATTACACGATCAATGGAATAGATTCAAGGTTATGTCTTGTGCACACTTTTAACAATGTTATAAGTCTCATTAATCAAATCTTTTTTCACCTTCTTCCCTTTCTTTCAGGTCGCCTTTGTGCCAGCGATTTGACCTCCCTACACTGTTCATTTTTGTTTTAACTGTGACACACTGACGATTCAGCAGCTTTGCTCAGTAGGGCTGGGTATCTTTCAGAGGTGGCTGATACGCTACATAACATTTTATGATACAGGGGACTTCAATTCCAATACCATTTGATACAGTATTGTATTCTAAACAATAAAATACGGTTCATTCAAAATACTGGCTTTTGTCTATGAACCATTTAAACAAAAATACATAAATATGGATGTAGTAATTCAATTTATTTTAGTGTAGTCTTAAATCACATCGACAGTAATCTCAGAGGACTTTACACATTTCTCAAAATCAACAAGAGAATCGAACAAAACAGTTAAATGTTAATAAATGTCCAGGATCCTCACTGTCTTTAGACCCCAAGAAACAACATCAACAAAAAACAGTGGGAAAGAATTTCTTGAAAGTTAATTGTTATAAAAGTCAAAATATAAAAGAGAACAAAAAGTCTGCATGCCTTTTTATCTATTCTTTACTGTTGTAACCGGTTTGCAGTGGGCCAAAGAAAATTCCTAGTTTGGTATAACTTTTTTATCTTACTGTTTTATTTTTATTTTTGTTTGAATTAATGTTTTTAATGCATTTTATGTGATTTTATTGTAAAGCACTTTGGTCGCCTTGAGTGTTGTAAAGGGCTCTATAAATAAAATTTGATTGATTGATTGATTTGGTTCAGATAATAGTAAAATACATGTTTTTAATCTGAAAAAATCTGGAGAAAAATCCAAGATTAAAATAATTATTTAACTAAATACAAAACAATAACAATATTTAGATAAAATACTGTATATATGTTTTTACATATACACACCCCATTGTACAAGTCTAAAAATAAATCACCTGCCTGTTTTTGCCTGCTCTGCTGCTTTGCTGTTACTTTGACACGAATATATCTGAGCAGTTGAACGTCGGTATATTCCTTCCTTTCGTTAGGCCATTTTGAATCAATATCATTCAAAATACCATAATGCATGTAATGCACAATATAAGTGTGTCATCGATAAATAACACGGCCATCAATCACAGGCTTCCCATCTGCCTGAGGTCACGCGTGTACAAGGGTTTGTGAAGGATTACTTTGTCCCTGTACGAAAGCGACAGAGAGATTTTAAGTTTACAAAGAATTACTGGGAAGGCTCCAACACAGAGCTTTGCTCCAGCACTAAAGAGCTAATCTCATATCTGATGGTTACAGTATGGCTGCTGGCTTTATGAGCGCTGCTGAGATAAAACCGTTACTGTCTACATTGTTGTAATACTCTTAATGGCAGAGGAGGGGATGTGGGAGTTCAGAGCATAAAAGAGAAATGTTGAGAACCCCCTGTAGCAGTGAGTCTCAACTGGAGTAGTGTCTGGACTCACCACCAACACAGAACACCAAATTACAATAATAATAATAATAATGCATTGGTTACATGTATATGCACTTCTTTGGACATTCGAAGGCGCTTTACATGTCATTTTTCTTTCACTCCAAACACGGTGGTGATAAACTACTGTACTACTGTAGCCACGGCTGCCCTGGGGCACGCATTTCAGATGAATGCAGCAGTCTGGACAGGCTTCTTCACTGACAATGTTTGAATCCAAGTTAAAGACGGTTCTGTTTGCCCGTGCACACAACTGAAGGACTACTCTTTTTAATGAATTGTTATTATTTATTATCATATTGTGTGATTTTAATGTTTTAAGGTTTTGAATTACCTTTGTGATTTTTATTGTGATTTTTAATTGTGTTTTAGTGTTTTATGTGACGATTTGTGCCTTTGTGATGTGAACTGTGAAGCGCTTTGTGTTGCTCTGTGTTGGAACGGCGTTCTACAATTAAAATTTGATTGATTGATTCTTACAATCAGGAGCTTCTTGGCTCCTGTGAACTCACCAACTGCAGGAGGACCATTGAGGGGCTGGTGCTAACTGTACTGGGTGCAGCTCTGACTGCCACCCGCCGACCCAGAAATGGATTAAGGGGAAGAAAATTGATGGATGGATGATTGACTCTTTTGACTATTATTCCAGACTCTGAAACCGAGCTCTTAAAATAAGCCAGCTTCTTCTCTCTGGCAAAAATTCTCAGCTGCAGCTGCAGGACATGCCCATATGAAACTAGCTTATTTCCACAAGCTGTTATTAGTCTGAACAAAGCATTTATGATCTTGCCCTTGTACTGAAACTGTTTTTGTGGATTGGTTTCACAGTGACAATTGTTTCTTGTACTTTATATCTTGTTATATTCATGTACCAGTCTAGCATACTTTAGTCCATGTATACCGATGTGGTTTTACTGCAAATGACAAATAACCTGAATCTGAAGGCACAAAAGTTTCTTCTGACTTTATATCAGCAGTTATATAAACGGTGTATGTGATGTTGTTGGAGTACACACACAGTGCATGGAAATCACACACACACAAAAAGGCAAAATCGCACACAAGACATCGGCAAAACAGAGAGGCCGCAAAAGTCCATTCCCTCAGTGCAAATAATGTGAGCAATCAAACTGGCCCATTATGATATTACATTAAAAAAAAACTTTGAACACATTTTACTTGGAGCCACAAACTACAATCACAACTTTCCAAAACAACTACACTTTTAATTACGCGCTGGGAGACAATTTATCATTCTTACGAGGAGCACTGATCTCGCTAGCAGCTAATGTGTAATACAAGGACTCGTATTATCTCAGAGCAGCTAAAAAGGCAGAGAAACGACTGTCCTCCACCGCTGCAAAAACTCGTCTCATTACGGCCTACAGCAGGAGAGAGAGAGAGATAAAGAGAGAGCGAGAGAGAGAGAGAGAGATAAAGAGAGAGCGAGAGAGAGAGAGAGAGATAAAGAGAGAGCGAGAGAGAGAGAGACTGCTCTGACAGCCTTGCATCGATTAAAGCAAGTGATTATGAATAAGAAGGAGCCGGCGGTTACCTCTCCTCCGCACAGAGACCTTTCCTCAGGTGGCAGAAGTCCCCGGTGTAGCCGTGGGGACAGACGCACAGATATCCTCCCTCGCCGGTCTCGATGCACGTGGCGTTGGCGGAGCAGGGGCCAGAGGAGCACAGCCGGGTGTCTGCGGGAGGACAAGCCGGGTTAGTGTTCAGGTTACACTGGATGTAGATCATGATCTCTCTACACATGGGTTAGGGTTTAGAGTTAGGGTTAGGTATTAATTCAGAGTTTCTGCATTAATATAGAAGAAATGCAACAATGGAGTAAGTAATTAAGTCATATTTATCGATATATATAGCACAGCGGATCCCTCTCTCAATATGGACCTACCCAATTTTTCGCATCCTGAACAAGGCCAAGCCAGGCTGAAACGCGTTGGTGCGTATTTTAAATTACAGCCATGAAAAGCCAAGAAAATAAAGGCTATTTGGTTGTAATTAACTTTACTCTGTACACTTTTTGCCCATGTTTTGCCTCCTTGTTTGTTATGGCCCTGAGCGAGCCGTAAGTGTGGTGATTATACTGTGTCTGTTTTTAGATCTTTCCTCTAGTAAGACAATAAAGACACATTTTGAACTTGTAATAGTATTAGTATTCTTATTTTTTTGGATAAACGGATCTGTAAACATTCTCAAACACTACATAACAGCTAATGAAGTGCTAATCAGTGTACCCTAATCCTAACCCACATGGGAAAATGTCAGCTGGTAGTTAGTTAGGTGTTTAATAAGGCCATGTACTGATAAGCACTTGATAAATACCAATTAAGAGCTAATAAACCATAGATTATACTCTAATTAGCTGTGAATTTGAGAGGGCTGAACTAAAGTGTGACCACAAATCTATATTGTATCTACAAAAATCAGATTATAGATAGTTAACCACACCCTCACTGTATATATGATTGCAATAAGAATCATTGTAGGGCCCCCATCCAGTGTTTAGCCTTTGTCTGGTTACTGACATCCGTTTCTGTCTCTTTCTATTTTGACAGTGCACTTCCACGTTGTCACTGTGAGCAAAGAGACAGAGAGAAGAAAGTGTGTTCTGTTTCAGACGGAGCAGAGGACGGTGCACTGACAGCAGGTCAAAGCTCCAGTCCAGATACTGCTGCTTCTGCTGCTGTTGCTGCTGCTGCCTCTGCTTTTATAATCCCAGCTCTTTTCATCCATCGCTTCAGGCACAGATTAAGTTCAAACCAGAGAATGAGTTTTGTTTCACTTTGTCAAGAGATTTAATACAGCCTTGTGCTCAACTTGCAAAACCGAATAACTTTCCAAAGACATGCTTTCTCATCGGATTAGGATTGGAAAATCAAGACTTGATCGGTTTCTGTCTGCATTATCTTTGGCACCTGTGGCTCATTATTATATAGTTCTGAAATCTCATTATTTAGATTTTTTTTTCCATGGCGAAGCATCTGCTGGTCACATCTCCACATCTATGGACATTGATCATCTGTGTTTTTATCACTGTATTTCCTGTGTTTAAACAGTTTGATTCTCTGATCTGTGATGGGGAATCGACAGGTCTTCCGAGATATCTGCTGTTGTAATTTAGGGCTGTACAAAAATAGATTGAATTGAATAACAAATCGCAAAGAAAATACAAGCAGAATAAAAAAAAATCCTATAACAGTCACATTTTTGATCAATTGGATTTGGTTTTATTGTATGAAACTAGTGATTGACTGCTGTTTAGCTTGTTGTATATTTTACAGCCTACTCTTATCCAGCAGTTTGTAATCTCTTGGTATGAAATTATCTATATAAAGAAAGTGGATTTGGATTTGAAAAGTCCATATAGCATATAGTTACATCTCCTTTGACATGTGCAATATAAAATCCCAGTTTTTTAAGGTTTTTCTGCCGAGGGGCAACCAATGATATGGTCTGTGTCAGAAGACCAAATATTACACTAAATAAAAATGAATAGTGTGTTCTAATGCCAATCAGATATGAGCAATGAGAGCCCGCTGGGAGAATGGTGAGGTCTCCAGCACGGACCTCTAGGGTAATGATTGGTCCAACCCTCAGGCCAACGGCTCCAATCTCAGTGAAGGAGAGTTCACGTTTCCAATCTCTCAGCGGCTGGATTAATTATGGTAATGGTTCTAAACGAGGAAAGAGGAATGTATTTTGAATTAAATGCAAATTGAAAAATTACAGGCCCACATTTTCCACACTGTAAGTCGCCACAGGGATCAAAGCAGCGTTCCCGGTCGAGAGTGGCAGTTGGCGTTTGGACGGTGGTAAACACAATCTTGTGTTTACCACAAATGCACTTTTTAAAAAGAGTAAGAGCTTGTGAAAACAGTCGTAGCTAATGCTTCTCGACGCAATTCATTTAGTAAAATGTATTTCGTTAATCATTCATTCATGCCCCGTGAAGCAGCAAAAGCGACCCCCCCCCCAACTCCCGTGGGGGGGTCACTGAGAAGGCGTGAAAGACAGGAAAGGATAGAGATGCTAAAGAAAGAAACTAAGTAAGTCATCTTTATAGCGCATTTTTACAGACCAAGGTCATCCAAAGCGTTTTTCAAAATTCCGAGTTCAGATATTTTCTAATTCACTCCACACGGTGATGACAGGAGCAAGACGGAGAACACTCTGGCGCATCAAAGCCACCAACCAACACCATTCACTCACTCATTACATTTAGTAATGTAGTTCGCTGCACTTCACACATGAGTCTGGTACTGAGCCACAGTGGTTGGATTTCAGAAGGCAGGGCCTTGTTAAAAAAATCCTTGTATGTGATTGGATAGACCACTTGTCCGTTATCTAGAATGAAGTCTGCTTTCAACCACTCACATCGAAGCACACGGCTCCCATAGGTTGCCAAATCCCAGCAGGATTTTCCAACCCAAAATCCGCGAGAATACCCAAAAAAAAAAACACTCAGAATGATTTTTTGGCTAAAAACGTTATATAATCAACTTGGGCTATCATGATTCTGTTCATTGTCTTTCTGTTTATTTAATACCTACAAGTCTCTTGGAAAAAAATATGCGGGAACCACCAAACCTGGCAACCCTGCTGCATAGTGTGTAAACAGGAACATTGAACCAGTGCTTCAACCAAACTTTACAGGAACATTTCACTCTTAAAACACACATATATCAACATAGAACCATCAACATCTCGCCTCAAATTGCATTAAAAGTGACATCCGTGTCTTAATTCGATCGTATTTACTCTTTTAAAAAGATTTGCGGACTTTACGTCCGCCATCTTGGATTCCTCTCACTGCTGCATGAGAGAAGCTTGAGGAGGCAGTGCAAACCCCACGTAACGCCGGCAATCCTGATTGGTCGATTAAAAAATAATCTGGGGAAGGCGTTTGCTATGGCGTCGATACCAGACCCATGTGGTTCAGCCAAACGCCTCTGGTGGAGCATGGCGGACCTACAAGTGTCTGGCAGAGCCAGGCTAGGAAACCAGAGCACCCGGAGGAAACCTACGCAGACACGGGGAGAACATGTAAACTCCACTCAGAAAGGCCTTGTTCCGACCGGGATTTTGAACCTAGGACCTTCTTGCTGAGATTCAAATTCAAACAGTCCTTGAAAAACATGGAAACAGTCTTTCAGCGAGGCGGTGATTTCAGAAAGAAAGTCCATAATAACTCAAAAGTTTGACCCACTTATGTGTGTAGAATGTATCTCTGCTCGTCTCTGTCTGCACCATGTGGTTCTCAAAGATTTTGTGTGACGGCGGAGTGGCGTCAGCAGCTGGATTTGTTGTTGGATTTTTACAAGCTGCTGTTTTTTATTATGTTTGTGGAAGTAATTCTTTTGGCAGGTGAAGACCCAGTCACCCAAATGCATGCTATTCTATTCAAATGATGGTTGTCAATCTGAATTTCAAAGTCTCCAACCACTGCGTAGGTGTGTGTTTGAGTGTGTATGCGTGTGTGCATATGTGTGTGGGTGTCAGAGTTTGTGTGTGTGTGCCTGTGTGCATGTTTATCAGCTCAATTCATGTATTTGAGCTCAGAGCAACACACACATACAACAAAGAAGACAGTGTTTGTATAAGTGCCATAAGGAGTTGGCAGAAGTAAAGAATATGTTAATATATCCATGTGAATACGTGTTTGTGGCTCTGTAAGGGTGTGTGTATGCATGTGTGTCTGCGTGTTTGCGTGTGCTTGTGTGTGCTTGTACGTATGTCTGTGTTTGTGTGTATGTTTATGTGTGTCTGCATGCGTGTGTGAACGTGTAGGTCTGTACTGTATGTGTGTGTGTGTGTGTGTATCAGTGTGTGTGTAGGGCATCTCTGACTGTCTCTCCTTCCATTACCTACTACTGTACATTTCTATGGCTATAATTTGATTGCCTGTTTTTAATACCGTTTTGTGACTGCAAATGGAATGGTCTATGTGCAAATGGAACGGTCTATGATCTGGTGCCGAACATCTGTTTGGAAGCTTAATATCTCTGCATTGTCCCTTCAAATACAGACTAATCTCAATGTATATAAGCTTCTGTGGATATATGACCTTCACACTCCTACTTGAGAATGACTACTAAACGTATGTCCTAATTAAAGGTCATATGCAAATGACACGGCTACATCCACCGCAGACCTTGAGACAAAGGTAATAGTTCCTCTACACACACACACACACACACACACACACACACACACACCCGGGCCTCGTCCCCGTGTGTGACCTGATTATGCTCTGCTCTTCCCACCTCGCTCTGACCGTGACTGCTGATGATTCACCAGAGACTCACCTTGGTCACAGAGGCTGCCCACCCAGCCCTCTCTGCACACGCACTGCCAGGCCCGCTCACACCAGCCGTGCACGCAGCCGGGGAATGGCACGCAACGGTCGCAGTTTTCTCCTTGCCACCCGGGTTTGCACCTAAACAGGAGAGAAAAGCTCAACTATTAATACCGCACCCAAAGAGAGGTACAACGCTGTCACCATATCTGAGCAGAGAGGACACGGCTCAGTGCGGGCAGGTCTCTCACAGGTCTATAAGCAGAGAGCGAGACCAGGCGTGTCAACAACTCAGGTCCGGGGGCCAAAAAGAACCGGCCTGTGAGATCATTTTTAGTGGCACCTGAAATGATTTATTCGCAGTATTGATGGGAATGGGATACTTGTTAGATCTGGCCTTCGCACAATGGTCAAACATGAGAACTTATATTCAAGAGATCAGGACTTTAAGGTCACAACGATTTCAGTCATGTCTCTGCTGTTTGGACAAGCTAACACCTGTGCGTGTTTTGCTGTGACACAAATTATCAAATAAAGTTCTTGCTTCGTCTTCGTTTGGTTGGAAACAACTGAAAATACTGTAAATTGAAATAAAGTTCCACGAGCATATCTGCAAGTTCCTGTGTAAAAGTATCATTTACTTACTGATTATGGCTTGTTACTTAATTTTAAACCTTATTTTTTCAGGAACCATCTGTTCTAAATTTCATCTGTTCTAAAATGTTAACTAACATTAGGAATTAGAGATAAAGTTTGGGTTAGGGTTAGGGGGGTTAGATAATAAGATGTATTGTTTGTCTTTAGTTATCCTTTTTTTATGTTTTGGCCCAGGTTTGACTGAAACCAAACTTACTAGAAAATATTATCCAAACTCATGTTGAATAAAATTGGTCAAAACACAAAAATATGTGAAAAGAATTTATATATGAGAAAAAAAAAATCATTTTCATGCTCTTTTTCCCTTTCAGTCACATTTAAACTTGACTTTTTCAGCCCACTGCAGTCGAGATGCTGCAGACTGACAAGCAAAAAAAACCTGGTCTTTAGCTCAGGATACACCAGTGAAAGAAGCAACAACATTTTATTTTAAAACTTTCAAACCGACAGCACAGCTCTGGCCTTTTATTTCCACATCTTTTCTAAGCTTATACTCAGATTTCCTGAACTAAAGCTATGGAGAAAAATCCATATTCTTGAAAGCCTGTTTGAGTGCTCGGTGCCAACAATAGGTGCAGAATCCCCAAAAAGGATTACCCTCTAACAAAGCAAATATTTGACTCAGTACATCTTTAGTAACCGTGGGAACAGCAAAAAGGCACAGGTGGGCGGGTCGACATGAGAACACAGGGTTCATGTCGCCTAAAAAGTTCATCATGTCTGTGGAAAACCGGCTGCAGTGAAGATCAAGCCACAGCTAGAAATCCGCCTTTTGCCAAATGCAACACTATTCAATTCCATGTATTCTTGTATATCCATAAATCACAACAGTAGTTACAAAACTGTTGATTCGCCAACACAGATTAGAGAATAAAACAGTTCAAACACAAGAAATTGATAAAACTATGATTTAAAAAAACACATTGGTCCACAAGGGGCAGATGACGAATGTCTATACAGTAAATGTCAGTAAATGTACTTTAGTGGCTTCATTTATCATTTACCTTGAGCCACAAAATAACAAGAATTAAAAATGTGAACAACATGTGGATTTTAAAATTAGTTGTTTACTTTAGATAAAGGTTTAGGGAAAGGTGAAGATTTTGAATAGTCACACTAGTTGATCCAATGTGAATTTACATAACCAATGAAAGGAGCTGGACATGTTTGGACACACAACATTCAACAACATTTATGGACTTTATCGACACTCATCTGCCCCTTATGGACCAATGGATCTATGTGTTTCCTTCCATTGCATTTCTTGTCTTTGAACGGTTTGATTCTCTAATCTGTGTTTGCGAGCTGACTCCTATATTTAGGGCTATACAAACATACATTGAATTGCATTGTTGTCTCCCAAAACAGCAAATTACCTAAACAAATATACATTTACATATGCTTCTTGCGCATATGCACTCTTTGTATTTTCTGGAGTTAATAACACATACAGTGGGTCCAGGAATTAGACTATCCCTGTAATTTGGACCATTCCCAAGTCCACCGTGTTGTTTCACGCCAGACCTCCTGATCCACTCGGAGGCACGCAGCCAGCCCATAATGCACGCACCTGCACTTCCCCGGCTTCTCACAAAACCCATTCTCCGTGTTGCATCCTGGACTGCACTCCCATCCTGCAATAGAAGTCACAAGAACACTCTCAATGCAACACAATCTTATTCATTCATATATATGTTAACACAGTATAGACCCGCGCGCGTTGGATGACTACTGCACAATATCCAAAAAGAAAAAAACAAAAAAAACAAATCCATAGCTGAGTTTACCTTTCGCGATGCCAGTCACGGCCAGAATAGAGACCACCGCTGCGAGATGCATCATTCCCATCAGCTTCATCCTGTGAAACAAAGCGAATCAAAGAACCGGACCAGGAGGAGTAGTCTTTGGGAGTGCGCGCCGTTTTCATCTAGAGCGTGCATCCCTTAAAAGTTGCTTTGAGGAGAGAACAATGGTAGCTTCACAGATGAGAGATAGTGCAGCTTCCCCTGTGTATGTGTGTGCGTGTGTGAGCGTGTGCGTGTTTGTGTATGACACCGAGGTGGAAAAGGTAATAGCGCCCGCGCGTTTCTCTTCTTTTACGCACAAGAGCCATACTATTCCCGGCGCATCATTACGCACATCCAAAGGCAACGCGTCAGACAAGCACGCGAAATACAAAACAAATGCTTTTCTTTTATATATTTTTTTTACCTATGTGGTGCCAGCTATCCACGTGGCTGCAAACATTCTTTTTTTTTTTAATACAATCAACTGGAGCCAAGGCGTACAAGTGGTAAATCCCAAAAAAAGCCCAAATATTGTATAGGTCCACAGGTGCAGAACGAGCTCCTTTCGCGACCGCAGACCTGGCGCTTTGGATGGGACTGCTGTGTGCGCACGGTCCCAGTGCCATGGCTCCTCCTCCTCCAAATGAGAGAGGCATCAGTGCAAGACCCTCAGCAGTAAGTGGAGCATGTCACTGTAACCCCCCCCCAAAAATACACCTTTTCTATACAGACGTCTATGGCTCTAGCCTATTGAAATCTTATTTGTTTTGTGAGTGACTGCAACTTAAACTTGGAGTCTTATTATGAGCGTTAAGATGAGATAAGATAACCTTCATTTGTCCCTCAGGGGGGAAATGTCAGTGTCATTGTTGTGGATATTACAGGAGAAGAGCACACACATCAAACAACATTTATTATTGAAGTAATTCATATCGGTTGATAACAATATATATTTATTTTTTATGTATTTTTTAAAACGTAAATAAATACATTTGTGGTGTCGGCTAACACATGTTGGCAGCCTTGTTCACAGTCAAGGGGGAATGAGGCTGCAGACAAATGTTCACAAGTGTCTCTCCCACTTTAGTCCTGGTTTAATCCTGGTTTAGTCCTGGTTTAGCTCCTGTTTTGGCTGTTTTCGAGTGTCTTGTGTCCCCGTGGCGGCTCCGGAAAAAGTTCATCTCTTGTTTTTGCCGAATGCATGGAGTCTCTGTACCCACTGCCTCTCCCGCCGCACATGCTGTTTCTCGCACGGACGTGTTTAACCATTGACACGGCACTGAAACACAATCTTTAGATCCATGGCTATTATAATAGATCCATGATCCATGGACGCTACGCATGGTGCGGCTGTTTTTTTGCTTTTCCCAGAAAGTTTCGCGGTTTGTAGTCGGCTGTGATAGGTTGAGAAGCCTTTGCGGCACGGCGGCTGAATGGATAGCACTCTCGCCCCTCAGCAAGAAGGTCCTGGGTTCGAAATCCCGGTCGGACCAGGGCCTTTCTGAGTGGAGTTTGCATGTTCTCCCCGTGTCTGTGTAGGTTTCCTCTGGGTACTCCGGTTTCCCCTACCACTAAAAACATGTACAATAGGTCTGGCATGCGTCTCCTGTTCGGCGACCCCGCTCCCATCTCTGTGTGGAGTGAGATCACAAGTGCCCAAAATAACAATTGTAAACCGCTTTGTGACTCTGGTCTGTGAAAGGCGGTATATAAAAAAAGATTACTTACCTACTTACACACTTAGGCTATATCCACACGAAGACAAAACGCTTATAATTTCAGAAACTTTTTCTGTAAACACGGAGTTAGCTCAGTAAATGTGCGCGTCCATATGAATGTAGTCAATACGCCTGAAAACGCTGTGAAACTATGCCAGACCTGTTGGTGGCGCTGTGACGCAATGACGGGATCAAGCCCAAACTTCCGTGACGGGAACTGGGCATGCGCGGAATTTTGTAAACAGACAACATGGCGAGTGGGCGAGCTGGTACTACATTAGTATGGACGGACGATGAGGTTGAACTGTTGCTTCGGGTCGCACTGGATTACAAAACCAACAAGCTACATTGTTGTTGTCATTATTTTCTGAGTGCGGCGCATGCGTGCTTTAACAAGAGGCGGGGCGATGACGCAAGCGTCTCAGATACATTGCGGAGAGGCAGTAACCACGGAGCGGCATATACGGAGTTTTGAAATCTTTCCACTCTGGGACCTAGTTTCAAAAATGTTCGTTTACACCCCCCCAAAACGCCGGCCTCGTATGGACGATACACTGGATTGATAAAGTATTTTTGCGTTTAGGCCTGAGCTTGACTTCGTGTGGACAGGGCCTTACTTTGCCTACATCCCTCAGAATGCCGTGCGCTTCTGACTCGGCTTGACTTCCTGTGTTTTCTTCCTGTTTTTTTCGAACGGACTGAAGTGAAACTATCGAAGTTCTATCGACCCCGTTTTCTATTGATATCGAACACGTGTCTATCGCAATATATATCGTTATCGTTTTATCGCCCAGCCCTACGTCACACATAGAAAGGCATATGTGTCGCATCCAGAGACAATCAGGACATATCAGAGTCATCGAAAGAACATAACACGTATACACAATCGTAGCGGATACACAATCAGGTCAGTGTGACCTACAGAAGGCCAGATCACTTGTATGGCTATCTAATTCCCATTAAGCCTTTATTACAAATATGTCAGAAAATTTGTCTTTTGCTACCTGGTTTTGATAGCCTATACGATAAGAAGCGTGTCTTAAGCAATACGGATTAAAAGTGATGAATTTAAAGGCAGCAGATAAAGAACGTGGAGTATGCCCTTGAGTTAGCCGTCTGGAAGTTTTCCATTTTGGTTAATACTGTACGTTAGCAGCAAAGAATACGACCAGAATAAAAAATAATAATATGAGCAGCGGGTAAAGGAACGAGGGGATTATCAGTACAGTTGAGATGACATGTGAAACCTCAGCAGTACTCGTTATACAGTCTGACAGCAGCAAGAAGGAAGATTAAGATCCTATATTTGTCCCACAGTATGGACATTTCAGTGTTGCATCACAAGTTACGGACAGTAGGAATGAGGAGCACACAGCACAAGATAAATAAATAATAACTCAGTACTAAAATAAAATAAATATAAAAGGACCTGCAGAACCTTCACTCAGCGAGGGTGGGTTAGTCTGGCACTGAAGCTGCTCTCCATAGTAGACCTAGCAGAGGAGGTGACAGTCACAGTTAGTTTGATGCAACACCTGTGCCTCCTTCTCTCTCATTAACGTTCATTTTGTCTCGTCTTGAACCTGACAAATGAGGAGGAGGTCTGAGATTGCGTCACAGCAAAAGACATTTTTTTTTTTTTTGGGTTAATAACAACACGACCAGAGTTTTCATATGGTTATATACTCAGCCAAAATACAGCAGTTCTTAAACTTAGACTTTGACAGAATGTATTGATCCATGAGGGAAATTGCGTTGTCACAGTAGCTTGCATAGTATTCCACAAAAAATAACAATGAAAATAACAATGAAGTAACAACCTGAAAATAAGAATAATAATAAGATATCGTGAGAATAGAATAATCTTGATATAAGTACTCAGGATGTAAATATGTACACATTTACAGTATAAAATAGTGGATAACAGAATAATACCCAGCATCCCCTCAACCTCCGTCACGTCGCCTATATACTGTATGTTTGTTTGCTTCGACTTTTCCAATAACAGAAACAACAAGTAGAAAATGACTGACTTTTGCATCTGTTGTAATGACCAATTTAGCAAAAAAAAAAAATCCAGCAAGAATTTAATTTGTATCGTCTAAAAGGACAATTTCAATACCAGTTTTATTTGCCAGTGCTTTAGCGATCCCCCATTCTACACCTAAAAGTACACAAGAAATGTCATAACAATATTAAGACAATTTTGTTTCATTTTTTAAATGGTTTCTCTCACATTCGCGCCTCATCAACAACTTTTTTGGTGTGCTGTACTTACTGTCTATGAAGTGTAACATAAAACGCCAACACATTTAAACACTTAAATGTCGAGGAGAGGATTATACATTCTACATTATTTTAATTCAAGTGAAGGAAATGTAACGATGACTATCAATTAATGGAAGCAACTATTCCCCTTTTTAAAGAAATATGACCATCGTGCAGTCTCCAGGTTTGAAGGCTGTTAAGATAATACATAAAACACAAAACAAAATCCCCCTCACACATTTTGCGCTTTCACAGTAATTACATTAGATAAGCCGTGCAAAACTTGATTAGATCATATTTGAGCATGGTTATTGGAAAGCGAATCCTCCTTTCCAACTCGTGAACGATTGAACTTTACCTGTGATCCAGCATAATTGCCGATTCTAATTTTAGTCCAGTTATTACTGTCGACAATCCCAAGAGCAACTGCAGGTACGTTCCTAAGAGCAGACTTCAACCAATACTAATTACGACTTTCCACTGATGTGATTACGGACATATGGCTGCTGCTGAGGAGGAGGGAGGAGGGAGGAGGGAGGAGGAGGTGAAGGTGGCGGCTGAAGGATCTTATGGCCAGTGTAACTCAGAGCATATGATAAACATCTATTGGACTTTATTACGCAATGTCACAATGTCGTCTGAAATCCCATAGCTAACTCGGCATCGGTGGAGATGTCTTCTTCTCATCTGCTTCAAATGCTGCTATAACCGTGGCACAGATCACCTCCGTGTCACAGGTTCATTATCTCAGCCCAATTCCATGCACCTTTTTTAATCTGTAAAAGCGAAATTTTTCCCGGCAGTCATATTGGAAGCATTTTGCAGTTAAACACGAAGCATATTTTTATCTACAGTGGTCCCCCGTCTCTCTCCTGCTGGGGTTATATTCCAAAAATAACCCGCAATAAGCATAATCTGTGAAGTGGCAGCTCTATGTTTTAAGGCAGTAAAACCACTTTCACTTTATTCACTTCAATCTGAGGGACTTAAACAGACAAACAGGGGTTTTGTTAGAATTGTATATTGGTTGGCAATTAAGTGACAATGCATACATTAAAACACATAATGCTGAAGA